TTTTTTTTCTCTTTTTGTTTATGTTTGAAATATTCCATTATCAAAACTTTTTTTAACAAGGGAAAATTAAAAGATAGAGGTTATTGATATTGTTGCAGACTCTGTTGCTCTAGAGTGTAATAACTGGCAGCATCTACAAATTCTGTGAGTTGAAAGAGAAGTTATATGGAATCAAAGAGGAAGGAGCTGTGTCAAGAAAGCCATAAAACCCCCAAAATTAACATAACATGCGATTTACTTACATTTTTCAGGCTGATAAATCAGGTTCTAATGCATCATATGAAGAGTTATCAAAGTCGTAAGTGTAGACATAAAAGGAAAAGTAAAACCAGGGCCCAAGTTACCAAGTGCTGAATGTATGCTGTTCCCAGAAAGACAACAGCTGCATTTAAGTTCATGATCCAATCAAACCTAAGGTACACAGACAGAAAAAAATAAAAAGACCATTGAGTTACTTCAGATAACAATTGTTAATTTGAATGCTTTTACATAAATGTAAGTTATAAAAATAGTGGCATGTGAGCTAAACTACACTTTGCAAATATTGTTTATGAGATTTCTAAATAAGTTTATGCTTATCAGCTACATCTTATTCGTTTCATTATCTGTGTTTCATTCCTATTTAGAAGAGATGTAGAGAGAGTGTGTTTTCTTTTATCTAAAGCAGGAGTTGACAAATATTTTCTGGGAAGGGCCTGTCTGACAGTAAATATTGGGTTGTCGGAAAAGTCATGACGTATGTATTTTGTCTATGTTTTCCAAAGCTCATTTATTAATATAAAGAACAAAGATCAATCAATGATATATTGCCCGTTTTGTTCGATAACTTTTTGCCATCTTTCAGAGAGCTTCATAATTTTTCATATGGAGAAGGACCTGTCTTTNGGTTAATCCTTTAGATTTAATAGAAAACTCATGCCTTCTGTACAAATAATTTGGGGTGTCATGTAGACTCAGCCTTTAAAAGAATCCATTGTCATTATAATTCTCAAATTGCTTTTCTGCACCAGGAGCAGAAATGGGAAGTTGAAAAAAAAGTGGAATGAAAATGCAACTGAGACTTCAAGCTCCAGTTTAAATGTGCAAACACACCAGGTGTGCACATTTTAAAATAAAACAGATGAGCTATTTAAAATGTTTTATTGCAAAACTTAAAGATTGTCACCATTACTATTAAAATAATAAAAAAAAATCTTTAGAAAGCAATTTTCCATTCTTTGTACCTTTAAGTCCTTGGCTCTGATGTTCTGCTCCTCTGACCTTGATCTAATCATGAATATCTATGCTCCTTAATTATAATAAAAAAGCCTACATTGCACTCTAGATGGTAGATGCACATTTTTTTCTTCTTTGGTCACCTGCCAGTTCTCAAAATTATAGCAGTGGGAAAAAATGCAAATGAAGGCCGTGCTTGACAGCTAAACATAATGGAATGCATGGTCTACATTTGAAAAGTTACCTTAAAATAAAAGGTAGCATATAAAAAATCATTTCTTTAAGGTCACCTATGGCTTTGAATTACAGCTTGGAGGAATTTCCAATTTAGTCATCAGAGAGGAAGGAGCCAAAATAAAGATTATATACTTTGCTAGAGGGAAGACAGAGTTTTACTTCATCAAGTTGGGTGATCTTATAACTTGGAAATAGAAAACAAAACAAAATGAAAAGCAAAACAAAAAACAACTCCAAAATATTCATTTTATGGAGTCTTACATAAAGTAAACCACCAGCGAACATTTTCTATTATAATTTGACTTGCAGCTAATAAACTTTTTTTGTTTGTCAATGTTACCTTATCATATGTTAAAAAATGTAACATATAGACTACTATAATAGGGCTGGCAATACACAGAGTTGATTACATAGATCTATATCACTTGAAAATTGTACTTATTCAGATGAATATATTTTCAAATAGTAGATTGGGAAACATATGGATGGATGCTAAATAGTCATTTAGAAAATATGAATCAAAATCTGTGTGTGTAC